ATCACTTGTTCAGTGCTGTTTAGATAGAAATAAGTAAGAAAGCTCTTAATAAGCAAGTTGAGAAGAGGTTACAGATAGATTTTATGCTGACATTGTTGGAAGCAGGGTATTTTTTTATCAATTACTGCAAAAGCAGGCAAACAAAAATGTGCAAGCAGATCATTTAAAGGCATTAATCAGAACTTATGATTAAATTTCCAGCTGGAATAAATAAACAGCACACACAATGGTCTTTAGGAACCGAGTTGGGCACCACTGTTGGGTCATTCCAATCTTCATCTGTTTGTTACAGATTGGGAATACTTGGAGATGACTTGACAATTAAGTGAGTAATTCATTTAGCTAAGAGATCTGTGGTCCTTTAAGACTCAAAGGTGTTTCGTACAGTTGTTCCAAATAATCTCTAAATCGCTTCATTTAAAAAAAAAACACTATATAGAAGAAAATAATTAAATTGGTCCAGGTCTTAAGAAAATAATACTTGAATGCTTATCTGTACACCATGCTCTATATGGAGGTCTCCAAGAGCAGAGCTGGAGATCCCAGGTCTAGGAAATCACACCATGGAAGCTCAAAGGGTTCAAGTAAAAGCCAATAATAACCAATTCATACCTCTCTGGTGTCTACATTGTGGTAACATAAAAAAATATTTTGACATGATGCACTGCAAGAAATGCAGAATTAGGGTTCAAATGGTGAAGTGCAAGTGGTCTTCTCAGTAATCACAATTATTTACCAATTAAAAAAGATCACATCTACTATAATTAAATGCACTGGGTGGACTTAAAGCCCTGGACTAAAACCACCCAGAATTTGCCACTACACTCATTATAAAGTTGTTCTAACCATTATAAAGTTATTCAAATTGGTTAAGCAATTAAAGGATGAACAGTTAATTAATGCAATAATCTATCTTTGATCATCAAATTTTATATTAATTAGTAAAACACCCCTCATATCATACATCTGGACAGCACCTGCAGAACATCGCTCCGATTAATCTGTAAGATTTATTTTGTCTTTTAAATATTGATAATGTCATTTTTCACTTCTCTGACAGAAAGCCCCATTGGGAATAATTATGCTAATAAGTCTTAATGATTTTTCACAAACAAATGATCAAACAATATTACAGAATTTGATTTATATAAATGGGTGCCTTAAGGAAGGAATTCATCAGAATGCAACTTGTCCCCATCCCTGTTTATCTTCTGTACTATGTGACATATATGGATGTTCGAAGGCTTAAGTATTTTGCATGTGGTTTGCTAAAGGCATTCTCCCAAGTGTTATATTTCAATATGTCGCCATATTGTCGTCACAATGCATCAGTTATACTATAGTGCAGTGTGTGCACGCTTTATTGAACACTAACTAAGGATATTTAGTCCCCAAGAAATTCTACCCTTTCCTCAATGCTTGGAACTTGCCTCACTGTATTTATTCCAAAAGCTAGAAGCAGTGACACAGACCACAAGAGACTGTTTTCCAGCTGTGGGGAGAGACCCTCATTCACCAGTACCCATTAAATCTCCTAGGGTCCCTTGACTCTCTCTAACTACTAGGTTGGCCTTCGTGATCCCTGCATGCCCCCACAGATCCAGAACCGGGGTGGGTACAACATGCCTAGCGTCATGCCCCCACACACCCAGAATGCCACTAGTGACACAATGCAAACACAGTAATGAGCGGAGGGCGTGATGGTGGCATGGACACTTCCAGCCTCCGGGTTAGCTGGGCTCTTACCCCACAGCCAGCGTGGCCCACTGAATCCAGGATGAGCAGGACAGGCCCGACGACCTACGCCTGACCCGAAATATATTAACGCCTAGACAAAGCAGAATTCCATCCATCCATTTTCGAATTGCTTCTTCCAATTTAGGGTCGCGAGGGAGCCAGAGAGTAAATTCCAAAACCCAGAGGGAAACTAGCATCAAGATCTGTACATTAATATTTCTGATACCATATAGATCAACATAAAGCCAGGGTCTGAGACTCGATTCCTGGAGGGCCTGGTGTCTTGCTAGTTTTTTTTCCAGCCTGAGTAGTCAAATCCTGGCAAGCAACAGGTGCAAGACAGGATATATCCTGGGAAGGGATGCCAGTCCATCACAGGGCATAATTACGCTGTTGGTTAATTTTTTAATGTTAACCTAAGATTTCACTGGTCATGTGGTAAGAACAGCTGATCCTCATTACTGCACAGGGTCTAGCACAGAATCTGTGCAAAACAGGAAGATGTATGAATTAAATGAGGGAAACCACCAGGTTTGCAATACAGTTTGGATAACTGCAAAATAAGGGCAATAGAATGAAGACATTGTGCTAATGCTAAATATTCTAGATGCCATTATGTATTCATATAAAAATGTATTTTTAATAGTGGCTAATGATGATTAAGCAACATCTTTCATTTAGCACATCTTGTTCAACTTGTTCCATTCTTGTTCAACCCCAAAGTCCATGCTGAATGGTGTCTGCTGCGAGTACAGTACTGTATGTGTGCACCCTGTCACCGTCAGGGGCCCGCCCAGAGTGCACTGAGCCCAGGTTAAAAGTACCGGAGAAGAATGACTAACATGCAACGCGAATTTAAAGAACTACGAATTTTCAAATCTGTAGAAACTCTTTTCTTCAAATTCCATTTTCACAGTAGTGCATCATTTCATGTGATGAAAATGACAAAAAAAGATCCTCATCGTGTTTTTTTTCATGCTTTGAAGTTCATGACATCTTTCTTCCTTCAGCTTTTAAATACTGTATCTGTCACATGGTAGGAAGAAATCAGCACCTCTGGGCTGGAGCAAAACTACTACTTTATTACAGGAGAATTATGATGTTTTTAACAATTGTTTTGTTCAATATTATTATCATAAAAGAGCATAGTAATACACACCTGGAGAATTTTACTTTTAAAAACTTGTGTAAGAGATTACTTTAACAGAATAGGGAAGTTGCTCTTAAGAGCTAATGCATTCCTTAACCTAGCACATTAACACACTATACAGTGGTCACTGTAATTGGGCACATTTCAGTGCTGCAGTTGGGTTTTTTTCTCTGTTTGTCAATGCCTGCCAGTCTCTGGGACATACCCCGGGAGCTGCTGGCCCCTCTCTGCCGCTGCTGGAGCTCGGCCGTCTGCAGCCGGCCCCTGCTGGAACCCAGCATTCCTCTCCAGCTGTCAGCCCCAACCCCCCCCGTGTCAGCAAGGCAAAAACTGGCATCTCCGCATCATCCTGCTCTTGGTGCAGTGAAACCAAGCACACTGGTGCACTCTGACGAAGAAGACACTGGAGAACTCCAGCCTCAGCTCAAAGGACAGGGCGCTCTTTATTTAGTCAGGAAAGGAAGGCACAAATGTCAATACGGATGCAACACGCACCCGTAAAAGAGCTATTCCGAGACTCCCTGACCTCAGGAAGGGCGCGTTCTTTTATGCTCCCAGGGTCGCTGATGAGAGGCTTCAGCTTCTGCTCCCGGAGGGGCATTTATGGTAACTCCTGTCTGCATTAGTATCCAGCTCAGTCCTGTCTCTGAAGAACATGCCCCAAGCTATCTTGTCCCAGCAGTCACCAGTCACATAACTGAGAGGCATGGTTAAATAGCAGAGATCCCTGTAACACATACTGTAGCAAATGAATACAGTAACACAGTGATGATGTAACTAACACATTACACTGGACTGTTTACATTAAACAGCAGTCTTTCCTCCTCCCCCTGGGACCAGTGGCCAATACTTTGCCATTGCTTGAAGCCCTGATGCCCCCAAGGCCTCTCTGTCTCTCCAGCAGGCACTTCTAATGACCACAAGACCCACCCATTATCCCTGGTGCAGTCCTGGCTCAGGGCCCAGGTCTTCTTCCCACTCCTGGTGTGGAATCTGGATGTTCTGTCAGCCCTGACAAGGCCCGCTGTTAAGGCCCCCACTTGAGGCTGTAATTTATTCCTGAATCCCACAACTGCTGTGTAATGCACAGAAGTCTTGTGTGGGTCATCATACGGTCCTCACAACCCCAGACAGGGACTCTTAAGTTGCAGGAAATCCCAAAGTTTGTAGCCCTTCCTGGAGCTTCGCTGCCTAGATTGAAGTCCCATCCTGTCCTCTTACAAGTAGTCCTCTTACTCTTCTGCAGCTTGTCTTATGCCAAGTCCCCATGACTCACCAATGCTGCTGAAGGAATACAAGGCCCCTTCTGCATGACTCTCCTGGGGAATCTCAAGCACGTTTGCCAGAATGGGCCTAGACACTGAAGAGGCCCTCATCCTGCTCCCCTTTCCCAGCTGCGCTTTCAGGAAACATGCCCACATGCGAACACACTTTCCTTTCTGAGGGTTGGAAAGATGGTTGGCTTTCACCAGCATCTGC